CATGATCTGATGTGGCAGTTCTAGCCTTCATTCTGATTTGGGCCAGCATCTTCAGGAGTTCCTCATGTGCTGTGGCTTTCACCATTTGCTGTGACAGCTGCAATATCTCTGTAGGAGACCCTAAGGGCTGTCTGTGTTATGGACAAAAAACAGAATCTGGGAGGAGAAGGGGTGTTCTGGTTTGATTTACATTTTTGTCTTTTGCTTCAAGAGTATTGAAGTTTCTATTTCCCTTCTTAAATCCCATTTGCTTCACTCAGTATAATCAGGCACAAGTGGAATGAAGTTCGTACTCGTGCACCACTTCACAGAATTCAAAAATGATTCAATAAATACTATAACAAACACAGGCATTGTGCAATTGGTAATTACAGCCATAAAGGAAGGACCAGCCATACCCTCATCTCCAGGTGGATTATTAAAAATCACAATTTAGCTTGTTGAACTCATCACAGCTCCACTGATTTTAAAGCCTGCACACAAAGAGAATTGCACTTCTCAGTTCCAAAAGTCCTAGCTTTAAATAGCCTGTGTTTCCTGTAAACAAGCAATAGCCCCCAAGAGCATAACCTCGTTAAATTGTGGATTAAACCAGGACTCTAATTTGCACTTACTTAAAGATTAGTTGTCAGGGTATATGGCTAAAATCATATGGGGAAGTGCAAGTAAATGACATTGTGTGCTAATATATTGGTGTGTGCCACTGTGTTTTTGTATTCACGGAAAATTAGGTAAAAACCCCAGGAGATTGAAGCACCAAACAGCAGTTCACAGTTAAGCCTATGTCCTGCTTGGTGGGACCTCTGTCTTTTCTTAATTCAGCTTTCAGACAGGTTTTTGAAATGCTTCCCAAATTAAGGTCACATGCACAGGAGGGGAATTAAAATCTGATGATGGTTTATTTTACTAAATCAGGATTGTTTAAATTTAAAAATTGGAGTTTAATCCTTATGTGCTGTCTCTGTCACAGGAACACAGAGAAAGCTGTTTCTAAATCTTCTTTCCTCTATAGAGTATAGTTCAAATGACTGTAGTCCTCCTTCCTCTGTGTCCAGCACCTTTGTGACTTTCTTGGGCAGAGCTTTCTTCTCATGAAAGCTGAGCTGGGTCTAAAATTCCCATTGGCAAGGTGTCTGGAGACCTCTGACCAGTCCTACCTCCATACCAGATGATTATCCTCAGAGATGTGGTTATGTTGTGACTACTTCTCCTTTGCATACGGGATAATAGATGTTAAAGTCTGGATGTGACACATTTATAGCACAGTTGTGAAAAGGAGCCAGCCAAGGCAGGGGGAGGTGGGGGCAGCAATGGAACCCAGACTCACCAAATATTTAAGCCCTGGTTGCTCTTTAAGCAACTAGTCAAGAATCAGGTACCAAAACAGGTTTGGGGATCTGGCTCTGCACATCTAAAAGAGTGATCAGGAAATCGGTGGGGACTCATCTTCAAGGGTTTATGTTACAATCGTATTTTAAATCTCTATTTTTGAACATAAGCCTCACAGGAATCTTGGCTTGGCCTAAACTGGAGCACCTGATCATAGACAGGTCCTTAAAACAGCCCACAGCTTAACTGTGTATCTAGAGATCCTGAAAATGCAGGGAAAAATTAGGCCCAGCCATTCCCTCAAATTTAATCAGAAACAGCCTGGGGCACATAGATGCAAGTACTGTTGATGGTCAAAATTCAGAGTTACATAAAGAGCAGTGAATGACAGAAGGTAATTAGGAGCTCTGCATAAAGGGCTCCATCCTCAAACTGTTCTTATTGCACAGCCCCTGCCAGACTGGGGCATGCCTCAGCATCTCAGCCTGGGAAAAGGCAGAAATTGGAGAGGCTGGGAAATGTTCAGCGCCAAAGCAGGTATATTTTTCCTTGATTATTTGCTTTATGTTTAGTTCAATTTCTTTCCCAGCCACGTACTTGAAGCAAGGATGAGCAGCTCTTGGATAAACAAGATATTTCCCTTTCTGCTGAAAAAGAGAAAAAAAGGAAGTGTCTGAGGAAGGTGGAGAGAATCAAGGAAGTCTTTGTGTTACAACTGGCTCAAGAGAGCCCAGGAAATAACATCCAGGATCTGGTGGCACTGTCAGCATTTTGGTGTTTCCCTCACTTGGCTGCCTCTCAGCCCGGCTTTGCAGCTCACAGGGGTGCAAGTTGGAGGCTGGAAGTGATGCTGTGAGCAGCCAGGAAGCTTCCACTGCCCACAGATCTCAAACCACGGACAAAACAGGGGTTGTTCTTTCCCCCTCTTAACCTGCTGCAGGCTCTGCCGGTTCTGCCCTTCTGGAGCTGCTGGCCAGTGATGTGGGAACACACATCATGCTGCTCTCATGCAGGAGAGCATGTACCCTGCCTCCTTTTTCATGGGCTATGCACACAGGTACTTGCCTGCTGAATATTTGCCTGAATAATTAAGAAGGAGCTGAATCATTCTTAGACCAAATTTCGGTTTTCTCTCTCCTCCTACTCCATTTATAGGCTTCTCCTCTCACATATCCCCTGTACACAGTGTGAAACGAGTGTTCGAATAGTACCAGATAGAGTCAATAAACTCCCCATGTGCTTTTCCTTCTTATTTTTTTTTTTAAATATCCTTAAAAGATGCTAAAGAATCAGTTAAAACTGCTTAGTAGCACTTATTGCGACAGAAATCCCGGTGCTGCGGTGCAAAAGCCTGCCCCCCTCTGCATCTCCCAGGATAGAGGCATCCACATTCCTGAACAACACAGGATCCATCCCTTCCCTGGCTCATTTTCAGAATAACTGTACAAAAAGGTAGTTGTTCCTACTAAGCTTATTGAGCAATGTTTGCGATCTATTTAATGAATATGCCCTATGTTGTTTTATTAAACTATGTGATTTCTGCTGCAGCAGAGCTGGAAAATGAATCTTAAATTGAACCCAGTTTTCTCACTGGAAAACTACCTCTTATTCTCCTCCCACTCCCTCTCTGCTTTCTCTTCCTTTTACCATTTCTTACATCTCTTTCCCCAAGTTATTCTGCATTTTATTTTGCCTTCACTGCATTTTCCTCCCCGACTTTTGATGCAAGGAGCCAAATTCATCCCTGCTGGTATCCAATGGACTGAAATTCTACTCCGAGGCGTTATTGGGCTGAATCCAAACCCAGCCAGCATTTTGCAGTGCGGGTGGCTTAGCCAAAATGACAGTTTATAATCTCTCTTTTCCTTATCTACAGTTAATATGAATTATTAATAAGTACTAGTATTGCTCTCTCAAAAATCATACTTCTTTCTGAAGCACCTATCAGCCAAGCTGCTGTCTGACTGAGAATTCCTTTTTAACTTTCCGTGTGTGCTAGGAAGTTGCAGGATGCATGCACACGGACAGCCTGGATTCCAGAGCAGGGCTCACTCTGGGATTCCTCTTGCCATCTGCAGTGCACACCTAACCCGAGTGCTGGGCACGATTAACCCCTGCGGGAGCCGGCCTGGAAAGGTTTGTTTTCCCGAATTGCCGTTTATGACGCTAAATCTGTTTCCCCATTAGGCTGCTGTTCCAGATCCCTCACCTGGAGGGGGGTGTCTGCACAGTATTAATCTCAGGCTGTGTTTACAGCCCGGGAACATGACAGGTTCTCTCCTTCCCTGCGGTTTCCGTGTGCACAGCTCATTAGATACTCTAATGCAGCAGGAAGCCCCTCTCAACTGAGAATTCCTTCTCGTATATTTAGCAAACTTTTGACTGCTTCCTTTCAAAAGAGTCTGAAGGACATATTTACGTAGGAAGAGGGTGAGACTCACAAAGCACGATCTACAGTCACGTTTTTCTGTGGGGAACTACAGAGCAGAGGAGGAGGAGGAATCACCCGCAATTCTCTCTCCTTCTCCCCCGCGCCTCCCTCCCCTCCCCTCCCCGTCCCTCCCCCACGCCCATACAACCATAACACGAGATGAACGCGCTCCAAAATACAGCTGCATTGCCTTCCCTCTCTTCCGGTTTTCTTCGCCTTGGCAAAGTGGGGGGGGGGGGGGGGGGGGGGGGGGGGGGGGGGGGGCAAGGAGAGAGGATGAGGATGGAATTATCGCTAATGTGGAACTGATGTTTTGACTCTGCCATCCGCAGATTGTTCAGTGAAGCCTGCACGCACGGTGTCAGAGTTAAACCCAGCCAGGGCTCTCTTATTGCTAGCAGGAGAGGCTCAGACAGGGAAGAGGGAGGCATCTCTGCTCATCTCCTGGTCTGGATGGTTCCACAAATGAAAGCGCTAAGGCTTGTGGAGTGAAAGGGAAAGGATGACTGAGGTTACGAAAGAGACCATCGCACTTCGACTGCAATCCCCAACCTTCATTAAGATCCCCATTAAGAGATAAATTTTACAAACATACACCGTTTTGTATGAAATGAAAGGATTTCCTTCCCATTAGAAATCACACTGGAGACAGCTCCATTTGCTCCAAATTAGGTACGCTCGGAATGAATATTTTAATTAATTCATGATAAATAAGCCAGACACTTTCCTCGAACAGTTAGTGTTTCCTTCCTCGGCAGCAGTGGGATGTGCTCACTGTGCTGTGTGTGTGTTCATGTACTTGCCCAGGCTTTGTTTTTGATTTCTCTCTCATTTTTGAACCTGTCCTTCAAATGATCAGTTGCAACACATGTCCTTAACCATGGATTTCCTCGTGTTTGGCTGCTCCGACTTAGGAGAGGGGAGGGAGGAGAGGGAGAATAAACAGATTAACACACCCAGACCCCTGGCAGGATGTTCTGAGAAATAAAAAGAGGGGAGAGAAGGAAGAATTCACACATAAAAATAGAAGCCCACGTAGATTGGCCATATATGGAGTACCGGAGACTTCAGAGGGATACCCTCTTCGGACCACCCCTTTGGCGGAGGAAATCGCTGCTGCGGGAGGGCCCCTGCCCCCCTGCCCGGGCGGTTCGCCCGCAGCCGCCCCCAGCCCCCTGCCCCGAGCCCGGCCCCGGGGAGGCGGCGGCGGGGCGGCTGCGGGAGGCGGCGGGGCCGGCGGAGGGAGCGGTGCGGCGGCGATGACTCAAACCCGCCCGGCCCGCTCTGCCCCCTCCCGCTCCCCCCGCCGGGGAGGGCTATTAAAAGCTGCTGACGTAGGAGCGGACGGCCATCTTTGATGAGGGCACGGCTCCCGATCCATTGAAGAAGGAGACCCGCGGAGGTCAGCAGCCTCCTGTCCTTGCCTCTCATCCAGCTGCGGCACCGACCCGCCGATCCCGCCGCGCCGCGCTCCGCCAGCCCAGGTAAAGGTGGGAGAGCACCGCGGGCACCGGCTCGGCGGGGGGAGGGGACGGTATTGACAATAATGAAATGGAAGAATATGATATCTTTAAAGTGGGACCCGTTCGGCTTTTTTGTCTCCAGCCTCGGGGCTGCGGCGGGGACAGAGAAAGGCAGGGAGAAGTGGTTGTTTTCGCTTCATCGCCGGCTGGAGCCAGGGGAGGCAGCCGGGCTGTGCCTCTCGGCCGTGCTGGCGGCAGGAGGCCGGAGGAGAAGGGGAACCAGCGCCATTCCCACCTCCGAGCGGGGAGAAGGGTCTGCGGGCGTTTTGCGCTGCTGGGCCGGAGCGGGCTGTGCCGCCCGGGGCTCTGCACCGCCCGCACCGCGCCGGGCTGCGGCGGAGCATCAGAACCGCGGACAGCGCCGGGCCCGAGCGGGACGGGGAGGGGACGCGTGTCTGTGCCGGTGCCTGTCTGTGTGTCCGTGTGCGTGTTCAGCACTGCGGACAGCGCCGGGGCCCGCGCCGGGACCGGGGAGGGAGAGGTGTCTGTGTGTCTGTCTGTGTGTCTGTGCGTGTGTCTATGTGTCTGTGCGTGTGTCTGTGCGTGTGTCTATGTGTCTGTGTCTGTGTGTCTGTGTATGTTCAGCACCGCGGCGGGTGGCAGCGGAGGCGGCCGTGCTGCAGCGCCCTGCGGCTCCGCGTCCCCCGCCCCGGGGCTGCCCCCCCGGACACGGGACTGGGAAGCGATTCCCGACTGGCAAGCGGCGCTGCTCCCTGATTCCAGAACAGGACCGCGGGCAACAGCAGTTGTGGCTGTGCAGCTCAGAGCGAGAAGAGGGAGAAATAAAATTTAAAAAACAAAAACCAACCAAACAACAACAGAAAAAGGCAAATAACATCAGTTCCGGCAATCAATCGCCGTTTGGCACTTCGGCCCCTCTCGCTGGAGAGGTGTTTGTGCAAGGAAGGCGGGTTATATAACGCCCAGCCCGCGGGGTCCCCGCGGGGCCGGGCACTGCCCGCAGGGACCCCCGGCAGCTCCCGGGGCTTCCCCGCAGCCGCGCTCCGTGCCCCGGCGCCGCTGCCCCGGGCTCTTTGGGCGCTGCGTGCCGCGGCTCCGGTGCCGCCGTGCCGTGACACGGCGGGGCTCAGCCCGGGCCGGCCCCCCCGCCCCGCTCTCCGCGCTGCGGAGCGGTGCGGAGCCGACGCCTTATGTAACGCGGGCTGCCCCGTCACGGCTCCTGGCCACGGCTCTCCCGGTGCCGGCGGTGTTCCCTCCGCCCGTCCTTTCCGCTTCCCGCCACCTCAAGCCCCCAAACCTCTCGGTGCGGTTCCAAGTTGGAACTTCGCTGCTTTTTTTTGTTTGTTTGTTTGTTTTCTGCGGGGCGAATAAACAAGGGGAGAAAGGGGGATTGGGCTGCGTGTCCAGACACTGCGCTGCGTAGCTGCGTCAAACCGGAGCCGCGGGATCTGCCAGATTTACGTGCTTGGCTTGAATAATTGCTGCTGGTTTCGTTCCCAGCTGAAGACGGGGGGGTGGGGGGGGAATGGGGGGCTGATCTGCAGCCCCTTAACCCAGACCCGTCTGCTTCTAGCCCTGACCGCAGCATCTGCAAGGACATGCCTGTCCCACACCCCCACCTCGTCCTAGCTCTGGGCATGGAGCAGTTCTCCCATTGATCAGCACGAGGATGGTGTGGGTCAGCCACTCCTGCGGGTGACAAGGGAAGGGACAGAATCATCTGGGAGATGAGTGCTCCGGTGGGTATGGCTGGGGAACAGACTGTCTCCTAGGCCCCCAGCCACCTGCACATCCCAAAGAAGCCAGTCTAGGAAAAAGCAGCAGTGGTTTTCCATTGCTGCTGCATCGCACAGAACGGGTCAGCCAGGAGGTGATCACTGAAGAGTTTGGTTCCTAGGACGGGTGCCAAAAAGATAACAGAGGTGACCAAACCAAAGATGCAGGCAGCTGTGATTGGCCAAAGCAAAAGCTTGAGGCTGTCTCTAAAGTCAAGAGGAGTTGCAGAAACTCAGCATGTTACAAAACCAAATGCAGCTAGATAGCAATCACCAAGTAAATGCAGCTTAACTTTCTTTCCACAGCTAACTGGAAAATGAGAGCGACATTTCCAAGAGCTCTTGGGACCAGGCTGTGTGTCCATTGAACTCATGGGGGCAGTGAAAAGAAAGAACAGCAGAATCCAGCCAGTATGAACCCTCAAAATACATCTAATGAGATGCAGCTCCACTTCCCAGATTTATTGCACTGGAGGTGGGAGCTGCTTTTCAGGTCAAGGGAAAGCTTTTCATTTTTCTCCCTATGCTTTAGGTATGGCAACAAATAGCAAGATGAAAGTGCTAAGGCAAATAAAGCACGGTCTCTACCTAGTGCTTGCACTGCTTTAACTGAGCGAGGTAACGAAACAAAACACTTTTCCTGTCAGTGTGAACAACTTCAGAGATTTTTATGTCTATGTGTCACAAGGCTACAGCTGCTGCATTTGTAGCAACCCTCAGGGAGAAATAGAAAGTGCATGGCACGGTGTAGGTCTCAGTTTGCTCATGATTTCTTCTCTCAGAAACGAAGAACAGAAACTGTTTTCCCTTTACCTTGGCTTGTTGTCGCACAATTACTCTTTCTCTTGCATTTTCCCACCTAAATCTCTGTCATAATGCTTTATAACACAAGGAGGGTACTTTTATCTGTGCATGTTTATACCCACACACACACTCATTTCAGAGGTTTCTAGGGTTCTAAGCTGGGTAAAACCACAACAGATGCAGGCTGACTTTGCAGCATTCATTTAGCAGAGTGCATTTTTCTGTTTGTGGAGTTTCATGCCCTGCTACCAATGCAGTCACCTTCGGGCTGGGCCAGTGCCAGACAATCTGTACCAACAGACTTGTTCAAGCATTTCAGAGCTTTAGAGTTTAAGGCAGACAAGAATAATGCATTACTGGAGAGCTGCTGCAGGATGCACTTCTCAGGCAGATGGTGATTACCTCTAGGATGCTGGACTTCGGGGAGGGCATAGGGCTCATCTGTCTACTCCTGGGCATGCTGGTTATAGTTTGTCAAGGGTGTAAGTTGTTAAGGAATAGTTTATTTTTTTAGCTTATTCTTTTTGACCTCCAGCAGGGTCTTTTTCCTTAGTTTCAATAAGCTCTGGCTTTCTTGCCTACTGACCTTGCAGATTCAGCTTGCTGCATTGTATTGCAAGGAGCACTTTCTTCAAAACACACAAGTTATATTCCTAGCTCTTGTCTGCCACCCCTTTGTTACTCCCTCTACAAATGCTTAGACACACGCAAATTCCCACCAGCAAAATCTACCTCTTATCTGATCATGATTTTCAATATGCTGTCCCACATTCCACTAAATTTTCTAGGACTTTCCACCAAGCACAAAGCCAAGTCAACTGCATAGGTTCAAAATTGGTTCTTTCCTGCTTTGTGATGGCCCCAAGGCCGACATTGCAAGGCCTGAAAGTGGATCTGAGTGGCCTAGAGGAAGTGTTTGAACCACTTCCTATTTTAGATGGAAATTTAGCTTTGCTCTTGCATCTTTCATCTTGTTCACTTGCTATTTCTTTATCACCTCATGCTCTCTTACAATCCTTTTTTAATTCCTGCTAGAGATCACCAGGATGAAAGAAACACATCAGGGGCATTAGGACCCTGATGTGAAGGGTGATGAGTGTTGCATTCTGATTTTGATTATTCCAGCAGGTCTTATTCCAAAGTCAGTTGGAATCAAGGAAAATACTTTCCTGTACATCATTTTGTGGGACTTGTAAAAGAATATTTAGCAGTTTAGGTTTTTCAAAGGGAAACAAATGCTGTGTACGTATTCCCTCTGAATTATACTGGCTATGATTATAAAGAGAATGTAAAATTGCATTATAACCTTTTCCTTTTTTCCCCTTTCTCTTCTTTTATTTCTTTATTTCTTTATTTTTAATAATAAAAGACATGGTATCTCATCTTACCCACTAGGGAAAGTTGAATTCTACTACAGGCACAGAGAGGAGAAGAGGGAAACATTAAGTAATTAATCATGCCTGTTCCTGGCCTTTTAGAGCTGAATGTTGATGCTGACCAATCTGTGCTGTGTCTGGCTATCTAAGAGTTTTGGGTTTTTTTTTCTTTAGAGCTAACAGTGCTCTAGTTCACTTTTTGAATGGCATTTAACTTATTATTAGGCCCCATTGTCAACTGTTGTGAACTGGCATAACTGAGAGCTGTGCTACTGTACAGGCCAATAATCTTCCAAGCTGGAACCCCTCTGGTTTTTGTTTTAAACCAGAAATGGGTCTATTTGCTGAATGAGCAGATCTTCTAAATAAAGAACTCATTTAAAATGCTGCCCTCCCAAAGCCCATCCCTATTTTTTACCAGCCTGGTCTCATTGTTGCAGAGGCTCATGTGGCCAGGCTGCCTCAGAAATGGTGACAGGGAGCAGTGATGAAGCAGCAGAGGAGGAATCCTGCATGTTCTACTCCTCTATTTCAGGTTGGGTTCTGCTGCACTCTGCTGGTACATAACACCAGCAGAACTTGAATGTGGTGTAAAACCCAGGATGCAGCTGAATTTTTCCTAAAGGCACAGTTGTGTGCAGAAAAAGGTCAGAAATTCCTAGCTGTAGCCATTCATTTTTCTTTCAAGCTGGGAAATAGTGTGAAGTTTTCCTGCATTCCAATGAGTGTAGAGAAAAATTATGCTTCTTCCATCGAGTTTTTTAAGGCAATATTCTTAATGGCTGAGACATTGTATGTGTAGAGTTAAAATATAAAAGAATAGAGGCAAAGCCAAGTCTCACTGTATTAGTGTCTGAAGCACAAAGTGTACAAAGTGTCTGCTCTTACGTGTTTTCACTATAATTATAGTTTTCCTTGTGCTTTTCATAGGACCAAGTTTTGTGCCAGCATTTACTGGTAGAATCCATAAGCAAAATGAGTTATCATAGACTATGGCAGTGCTAACAACTAAAATTTGTATCCTAGACATTACAAAGAGATGCCT